GACACATGCAAATGCCAAATTGAATAGCGAGCGCGCTTAGTTATTGCCAGCTTGATGCTTAACATCGGGGCTGAAGTAGCATAAATGCGACGTGCAGGCGCTGCCGGCCTGGTAATTATTGTCCCCATCTACAAACCCCAGAGAGTAAATTGATGAAGTGGTAATCGGGTCTGCAAGGCCCAGTGTTGAGAACTACTACTCATCTACGAACCTGGTACTACTTTCCAGGATGAGTAGTGTAAATGTAAGGCTTAAGAGTAAACGAACATCCCATTTTAATCTTGGGTTAACGTCACGCTTAGTGTAGGGTCTGGTTAAGGGCAACCAGGGCACTAATTTCCAGGTTGGACAGCATTGACTTTACTTTTAAGGGGGGCATTATTGTTAAGCTAGATTTAAATTTGGATGTTGGTCTAAACTTAGGTTAAGCCTTGCGTTGAAGGTTAGGGTTAGGGGGTATGTTCGGTCTAGAGTTAACGCCTCGGGGAGTAGGGGTTATATTCCCTTGTGTTGAATAGACCGTCGGCTTCTCTTCTGGGAGGCAAGGGAACTACTGGTCGCTCAGTATATATGATACGTCTATGTGACCTGGTTTCTGATGATGCATAAACGCATCAATACCAACAAAAGCGAAGGGAATCCAAATTTTGGGGACCCCTATATCCATTCTTCAAAGACGCAGTGACTACGTCGATATGTGATTCATATAATGCATATTCAGACTGGGGTCTGCAGTTTGGTTGGCATTGGTCTCAGTGAGGCATATAAAATGCAGTGATTCCGCATCTCTTCAGTTAGTTTAAGGCCATAGTCGAACACAAACTGACAATGTTAAACAGAGCAAATCACAAAGTTCTTCACATAAAGACCATACTACTAACGGATAGAGGTAGCACAGCAGGGCTAACGTACAATACTTTTGCAAAAGGCATATCAAAATGGCGTTAATGAAATGCGTTAGAAGACGCTAAATCACTACATCTTGGACACAGCATTAAGACATGCGAACCATGGCAGCGTAGTCATTCAGTGTGGCAATGCTGAACTAATATTCCTATAATACCTGATCATCGGGTTAATCAAGCACGCCTTGGGAGGTGAAAGAACCGCAATCCTAGTTGCGTATTCCATTGTTTTAAAACAAGAAAACATAAAATCGAGAACATTCTGTATTATAAGAAGAGACTGAACATAGAGTGGACTGCAGCGGTAAAAATGAAACCGGTATGCGGCGACTTGCAAGTCTCAGATGAGGCTAACGGTGCTGCATGCTTGAGTCTGCTTGGAGCATCTCGTCGCTCGATTTTGTCCAGATAAAGGAAGAAACGGTTGAGAAGTTGGAGCGCGGCTGAGCTACGTGACGTTTAGATGCGTCGCGTACTTTCGATTGTAAAAAAACTGTGGACGCAACGCGTGTGTAATTAACTTATGAAATCAGCCCTCCTTCCACATGCTGTTTCATTAGATTGTCGGATTTCGAGTTTCGAAAGAAATAACGAAGTGCCTAGCATGTGTTATCCCAAAATAATAATGATTTAACACAGAAATGTTTCATAAAGGATAATATTGAAAAAATGCACAACCGTAATAATTGTCAGCAAGCCCAGTTGAGTCGGTGAAAAGATGCACTGTTGTGAAGCCCTGCCTGTCGTGATGTATGTCCTCTTGCCTGCAACCAATTAAATGAAGTGGAATTATCGATTGATTTCAAACTTACACACTTATGATGTGGCGAGTCAATTGATAGCGTTAGAAAGGCCGATAGCGCGCGGATTGGATAATTTGTCACACGTGAATGTAAGTCATGACAGACGAGGGCAAAATGAGTCAGCGCAGTCGCATTGGGCGGCAGACTCCTAGATCAGCAAACTGCGGTTTTGTTATCATAAATTAATTTTTAAGGTTACTTTCCTGACTGGCGACTGTCCGGTACGTCCTGAAGGCCTTCATTGATTTCTATCTGATATTTTAGATTTCCTATGGGAGATGCATCTTAATTAGTACTGAAAATGCGATTCCGGGATGGTGATTCAGACTAAGCAAGAACTTTCACCGGAAGAGATTTATTTGATGTCTGAAGTTTCATGTGATTGTGTCTTCCACCTGTCTTCAGGTACTTACATTCACGCTCACAGCTCTCATTATATGCAGCTCCTTTTCATGTTTGTAGCTTGCCAATACCGACTGAGCCGCTGCGTATGGCTTGCACCTCACTCTCATTAGAAGCGCCGCCGCTTTGCTCCCCGTTGTCTGCCTCCATGTCGCCCTTACTTTTTTTAGCTCTACGCTCATTGGCCACCTGTTGCAGTTAGTTGCAGCGATCGCTTCTGTTCTTCCCACTCGTCTCTTGGTACTTGTATTTTCGCTGGTTCCGACAACTTTACTCTTGTCGAACACGCTGATATAGCCGTGTCTCCTTCT